GTTTAGTTATTTGCAGGTCGTTTTTGGGGTAGGGAGGCGGAGGGGGTGGGGGCGTGGCCCCCTAAATCTCCCCTATTCGAAAGGGGACAGCCCCCACTTTACGAAAAGTGGACACCCTCCCCTTTCGGGGCCTCCCACAGACCCCTGGGGAACCGTTTGAAAAAGGTCGAAAAACTGCATTTACCGAGGGAAATTGAGCAGATTGAAGTGGAATATAACCCAACTAACAGAATCTGTGGGGTTTTTAAATAAAAGAAGTTATCCCAAGGTGGCTATCAGGCGAAAGAAGGGGGGCTAAACACATTTCGCAGAGAACACCTTTCTGCGTAGGCGGCCTTCGGCCGCACTTAGGGATTATAACCCTCAGGCAGTAGAATTCTCCTTTTTGTTTTGCGAAGAAAAGGAGCTGAACACCTTTTGCAGAGAACACCATTGCATATTTTTAATGCTTACAGGGTTATATCCTATTTTCTTTTGTCTCTCATTCTTTTGCATATTTTGGAGTTAGACAGCTGAACTCCGCCATTTAATTTGCATATGCAACCAAAGTCAGACGCATGATTTAGAAGGTGTTTTTATTTATTTTAAGAAAGTTAGAACTCATCGAGTAAAGTGTAAAGTAAAGGAGAATATAAAAATATATTGCTGAAGTGGCTGCTTTAAGGAGAATAGGAGTGATAAATTTACGCTAATTTCCGAATTTTACAAAAAAGGGCATATTTCTAACCCACTTTGTAAATAAATTAGTGACCAAAAATTACAAAAGTGGGTGCTAAAATAATGTTTAGACCCTCTGCTACAAGTGTGTGCAATTTCGTTTTGGATCGTACCGGGTTTAGCTTCCTACATAAAGGAGATATATCGCAAAAACTGGTATCTGAATAATCAATAGTATAGGAGATAAAGCTTATTCAGATTAGATTTTGACGATTTTCTCAGTAGACTTTGTATTATTATTTATAAAATAGCTTACGAAATTTATCGGTTTTAGCTGACCAAATAAAGGAGTTTTACACTAAAACCCCATATCTGAACAATCAGTTGTATGGAGGCAATAAATAGTGTGGCGAATACTGCGGCAACACAAAGCGAACAACGAGAAATAGG